CCCTCTCTCAGGGCCAGGCCACAGGTAACTCACTGATTGCATTCATATCATCATCATCAGCTGAGAGGTTGTGTGACCAGCCCAAGGTCAGCCAGGGAGTTGCATGAGCGGCTGAGGATTTGAAGCCAGGTCTCCTTAATTTTGGTCTAATCCCTTACCCAAATCATCATCATCATTGTTTTAGGACTGCGGATTTGGAAGGGATCCTCTAGATCATCAAGTCCAGCTCCTATCAAGAAGGCCCAACTTCTAGCTCTGCAGCTAGAGACCTAAACCATTGAGCTAACCAGTCATCTAAATTTCTGACCCTTCATTTGGGTATCTCACACTGTCCTCCTCCTCCTCCTCCTCTTAGGACTGCAGAAATGGAAGGGACCCCTCTAGAACGATCCCCGAGAACAACCCCTGGCAAGAAGGCCCAGGGGCGGAACCGAACTCCCAACCTCTGGCTCCATGCGCAAACCATGGCGCATCTTGCAGTTCATCACTCACATTGGACTGGGTAGCAAGCAGGATCATCCTCTTAGAACGGCAGACCTGGAAGGGACCCTGTGAGATCATCCAGTCCAGCCTCTCTCGAGGAGCCCTAGCGAGGAATCAAACTCCCAACCTCTGGCTCCACAGACAGAGAATCCAAGCCACTGAGCTCTCAGTGAAAGCTCGCCTGCGGGTCCTGCTCCCCGAGGTTTGCTTGTCTCTGTTCTAATTCTCTTCTCTGCTTTGTGTCTCTCTCTCTCCTTCCGCCCCCCACCCCGTTTTCCCCCTCCCTCCCAGAGTCGCCTTCCTGGCATCAAAGTGAAATACCTCTTCTTCGCCTGGCTGGGCATTTTCGTGGCCAGCTGGGTGGTCTACATCCATTACTCCTCCTACTCCGAGCTCTGTCGGGGCCACGCCTGCCAGTTGATCATTGTGAGTCTTCCGGGGAGGGAACCGGGGTGGGGTGGGGGGCAGAGCCTTTACGGGAAGGTGCGCCTGTAAGCACACGGAGGGCAGAGGGTGCTGACAAGGGGGGCTGCCCTCTGCTCCCCACGCCCCATGTGCCTGCCCCCCCCAAGGGTCTGCCTTGGTCTCAGGCCTTCCTTTCCCGGGCGGGTCAGGGAATGACCAACCACCCTCTGATCCAGGCTCCCGTTCTGCTCTCAGCAGCTTC